GAGGAATATGGATTAAGGTAAGGAGTCAGGGAAAGAGGTTGCTGTGAGCTAGGCTGACGCCACGGCCCTCTAGCCTGGCAACAGAGCAAGACTGTCTTAAAAAAAAAAAAAAAGAATTTATTTGAAGACATTATCAGGGAAATAACAGTGAATATGTTGTTAAGTACTAACTAAAATATCCTCATATGCATATGAGATGACTGGAGCAGAAGGAGGGGAGGAATATGGATTAAGGTAAGGAGTCAGGGAAAGACTCGAAGTCAGAGAACTGATTATAAACTACCTCAGCTCCTTTATTGTCAGGAGCACACTCTAAAAATATGCCTTTTGTTGCTTCAGATCTTTGCTTATTCTCTAAGGAAGTAGAGGGTTAAGAAGCCTGAAAGAGATCCAGGATTTTTCTAAGAATAACATATAGACATTGAGAGAATACAATAGAAAGAACTGCTTGTGTAGACAGGGCCTTATTCCCTCCTAAATGAGTCAGCCAGCCTGCCTTGGACAGAAAAAAGCACACAGAGAGAAGCAGGGAAAAGCAAAGAGATAGAAAGTATTACAATGGTGTTAAGTAACTTGCTTCAGTTCCTGAGGCTCTGGTCCCTGCAGCTCTTCTCGCCCCTGTGTGAGCCATTCCAATATGCTTTCCAGCTATGAGAGAATTCATTATTGCTTAAACCAATTTGAATTCGTGTTTGATCACTAGCAAATGAAAGAGTATTGCTAATGCATTTTTGTCGTGATAAAACTGTATATAGCTCTGAATTCAAGGTTTTATAAAACATGGGCTTTTTAAAATTGACTTTGTTATAAAAGGACTTTTTTTCAAAAACTTCATTAAGTCAGGGCATGACATTTGTGGGTAAAGAATGATGATGGCACCTCTTTAAAAGATTTTTTTTCTAGAAAACCTTAGCTAATCTGGAGAAAAATGTGTGATTTTTTCTTTTTTTTTTTTAGAGATGGGGTCTTGCTATGTTGCCTAGGCTGGAATGCAGTGCAGTGCAGTGGCTAGTCACAGGCTCTGATCATAGCGCACTACAGCCCAGAACTCCTGGGCTCAAGCGATCCCCCAGCCTCAGCCTCCAGAGTAGCTGGACCTACAGGCGCGCACCACTGCACTTGGCTCTGATTTATTTATTTATTTATTTTTGCAAGGAGAAAGTAAAACAGGATTTATTTGCAGATGACATGACCGCGTATGTAGAAAATCCTAAGGAATCTACAGAAAAGGCTATTAGAACTAATAAATAAGTTTAGTAAGGTCATAGGATACAAGGTCAATATGCAAAATTAATTGTATTTCTATATGCTAATGGCTCTGATTTATTTTTAATGGTATTTGTGACAGTGCTCAAGAGAACTACTTTGTATGTGATTATAAACCCCAATTACTAAAATCAAAATAAATTAGTAAAAAACAGATATTAGAAGTATCAATAAATGTATGAATATAAACATAATGCTTTACAACACTTACTTTAATTTCTGGTTGAAACCAAGTCTGTGTTTTTGTGTCAAATACATGGACATCATTATGCCATCCCCAGAATATCTGCTCTTCCTAAAACAGAAATTTTTAAAATATCTAAAAGCTTTTATAATTTTCACATCATTGTTACAGTTTT